ATAAACTTTAAAAAGTTAAAAATTAAGCTTCAAAAAATCTTTTAATAACGCTTAAGTAAAAAATAAAAAAAAAACCCTTTACCTAGTCCATATAAAAATTAACCCCTTCCCTGCCAGTCGATCACTGCCTACAGCGATCAAATAGAGATCACAGTATTATACTGTGATCTAATTTTTTTTTAACCCCTGAGGATTAACATTTTATTTATTTTTTAACCCTCAGGGGTTCAATTTATTTAATTAATTAATTTAAATATTTTAAAAATATGTATTTTGCTAGCTGGGGTGGGTGGGAGTTATGGGAAAATGGGGAATTTACTGTTGGTGCTGCGTACTGCTAGTTAGGGGTTAACGGTAAAAAAAAAAAGCTTAGAAAAATGTTAAATCTGTAAAAAAGTTTTAAGAAAGTTTAGGAAAGTTTAAAAAATTTTTATAAGCAAAACAAAAGTTTAAAAACTAGTTTTTAAAAGTAAAAAAGTTATAAAAAGTAAAAAAATACATTTTAAAAACGTTCATTACCACTACACCTGGAACAAACTAGAGAAAAAATTATCCCACGCCAAGGTTCAAAATATGCCTTTTGAATCACCCCAGGGTGTATTCTTTAATAAATAGTATGTGTTTGTGGGGAAGTTTCAATAACCAACCGTCTAAACTACTCCAAATTGGAACATGGACACAGCGTAAAACTTCAAAGTTAGAAAAAAACTGAATGGCTGCATCTCAAATGCGCCCCTTCAACATCCACACATACCTGGCAAAGGTACATACGGGGGTATTGCTGTACTCAGCCGACATAGCTGAGCAACATATGAAGTATTATACAGTCATAGCACACATAAGGTTTGCAAAATATGCTGCGCAAACTCACTTTGTATGTCAAAAAGGCAGAAAAAATGCTTATTACCACTACACTTGGTACAAGCTAGCGGAAAAATGATCCCACGCTAAGGTTCAAAATATGCCTTTTGAAATACCCTGGGATGTCTTCTTTAAGAAATGGTATGGCTTTATGGGGTATTTGGATTATATAGCCTGGTAAAATACTCTAAAATGGGACATAGGCACAGCATAAAAATTCAAAGTTTGAAAAAAAACTGGAATGGCTGTGTCCCAAATGTGCCCCTCCGATGTCCACACATACCTGGCAAAGGTACATACGGGGGTATTGCTGTACTCAGCCGACATAGCTGAGCAACATATGAAGTATTATACAGTCGTAGCACACATAAGGTTTGCAAAATATACTGTGCAAACTCACTTTGTATGTCAAAAAGGCAGAAAAAACGCTTATTACCACTACATCTGGTACAAGCTAGCGGAAAAATGATCCCACGCTAAGGTTCAAAATATACCTTTTGAAACACCCTGGGGTGTCTACTTTAAGAAATGGTAGGCCTTTGTGGGGTAGTTTGAATTTAAAACCTGCGAAGATGCTTGGAAATTGCACATAGGCCCAGCGTCAAAATTCAAAGTTTGGTAAAAACGGATATGGCTTGGTCTCCTATATGGCACTGTAGCTTCACGAAATAGTGCCAAAGACATTCATTGGGGGTGTCTTTTTACTCAGAAGACTTAGCTGAGCATAATTTGGGAGGTTTGAACTTAGTGGCACATATGAAATATACAAAACGCCCAGCAAAAATGCAATCCATATGTAAAAAATGCACAAAATTATTTTTTACCACATACTTTGGCATATATTGGTGAAAAAATGGGGTATGTTAAGGCACAATATGCACCTTATGAGATACCCTGGAGTGTCTACTTTTACAAATGGTAGGCCTTTGTGGGGGTTTTTTGAACAGTCAAACTGTTATAATACCCCAAATGGAAGCTAAGGCTCATTAAATCCATCTCTCAAAATTCTACTGTGAATACTGTAAAGGACAGGTCTCCTATATGGCACTGTAGCTTCACGAAATAGTGCCAAAGACATTCATATGGGGTGTCATTTTACTCAGAAGACTTAGCTGAGCATAATTTGGGGGGTTTGAACTTAGTGGCACATATGAAATATACAAAACGCCCAGCAAAAATGCAATCCGTATGTAAAAAATGCACAAAATAATTTTTTACCACATACTTTGGCATATATTGGTGAAAAAATGGGGGCATGTTAAGGCACAATATGCACCTTATGAGATACCCTGGAGTGTCTACTTTTACAAATGGTAGGCCTTTGTGGGGGTTTTTTGAACAGTCAAACTGTTATAATACCCCAAATGGAAGCTAAGGCTCATTAAATCCATCTCTCAAAATTCTACTGTGAATACTGAAAAGGACAGGTATCCTGTGTGGCACTGTAACTTCACAAAATAGTGCAAAGACATACAATGGGGGTGTCGTTTTACTCAGCAGATGTAACTGAACACAAAATAAAACTTTGTACAGGAATAGCACACACCAACTTTACAAAATATACATGAGAATTTCTTTGTTATAAGTTTGTGTGCCAAAAACCAAAAAAACCACAATTTTACTCCAATATTTAGCAGAGGTTGGCGGTGAATAGCCCGTGATGTCTACTTTATATAAATATATACTTTTGTGTGGCAATTTTGTTTTCTTTTATGGCTATTAGGCTTACAAGACAAACATACCAAATTCTAAAATCGCTCCACATTAAAAGTCTATTTTACTCCTTGTGCTTTGTGACCTGTAACTACCAAAAAAAACTTTAAATCCCAGACACACTGTATATTCTGTAAATCAGAACAACTAAATTAATTTATTTTTAATTACTTTTCTCAACCTGCACTAATTATGCACACATTATTATTGCAAAAACTGTAAAAAAAAACACAAAATTTTCATTTTTTTTACATTTTTCTGTTTTTTTTTAATAATAAATAAGCATTTATATATATGTGTGTTACATCAAATTAAAGCCCTTTCTGTCCTTTAAAAAACGATGTATAATATGTGTTGGTGCAACAAATTAGTAAAATGCAAATTGCAGTTGAACGCAAACAGCAAAAAATGAAAAAAATGCTGTTGTCATTAAGTGAAAGACAAGCTTTTGAAGCTCTGTCCTTAAGGGGTTAATTGGTAATGTAGATGCTACCAGTTCCAGTTTAAATAGTTTGTGAGTTGACTGGTGTGTAGCGTCCGTGATACATCCAATCACGAGCGCTCATGCAGGGGGGAGTGTAAGGTATCAGCTGTCAGTATTCTATCCCTTATTAGTGAGGTCATCATGCACTACGAAACATGCGTGTGACGTCACTTCCGGGATTCAGATTGACAGCTATCTAAAATAAGATCTTTTCCCCCTGAGTGTAAATTTTATTTTCCTTTTTTATAGTTATTTTTTGTTTTCATTTTACGTTTTGCTTTTGCGGTACAGTTTTTAAACATTTTTGTTTCTGGAATCCTAAAGATTTAGGCATTGTGGTTGTAAAATGAAAGGGTGGAAGTGCCCTTTATTAAAAAAAAGTTTATTATTTTTACATACTTTCTAAGATGGCTACTGACAGACTTATGGTGAAGAGTTTCCAGTTCCAGCAAGAGGTGTTGCAAAGTTTAGCTTGCTGTTTTGAAGATGCAGCAAATAAAACTGACTTGGGGGAGCAGAGCCTAATAAGACTGAACACCCCACCCATATACAGAGCACCTGTGCTGTCGCACCCCTTCAGGATTGGCTCTGACTGAATACATAAATATAATTATGAATTACTTTATGTAACACAGATTATTTAGTTTGCTAATTTGGGATAAAGGAATATGCAACGAAATTAATTTACTTATTCATCATACTCTGTTAATGATAAAGGAAAATAATAAAATGTATATATGGATGCAATGCAATCAATTCACAGAAGATTAATCTCTATTTTTGTTTTGGTTTGAATGATTTATTTTTACATTTACTGAAAATGTTTTGCTACATTCATCCCCTTGCTCCCATCCTTTTCACACTTAAGCTAAATTAGCACATTCTACTTCAAAATCAAACTACTTTTCATGGAATTACAATTTAACGAAACATAATTCTCCAATCAAAATCTCTGGATATATTAGCAAAAGTAATTAGTGGTGCATTCTGCATCGAAACGGCTGCCAACTAACAAACTACAGCATCAGATCATTGTGGATTTGTCATAACATAGCTTATATAAGTTACTTATTGCTAACAGCAAATTGAGGCATCAATCCAATTTCTCATGCTTGTGGTATTTGAATCTTGGGTGCACTGGGCATTTTGTAGGTCAGGTATAAGGACATACTTACCATCACACTGGTGCTTGGACCTAGGTCCGTGGTTGCAAGGGGACAGCAGAAAATAGGATCATATTTACAGGATTAGCATATGAAAAATTGTTCAGGGAAAACTTTTTGGAAAAAAGGTAGACTTTAAAAAAAAAATAAAAAAATAAAAGGAAAATATATTTTCAAAAATTCTAACTACTGCCACAAGTATTTACTAAAATATAAATCAGAAATTGAAAGCAAACTTCACATGGGTAAATTGGAGAAGTTATCCAAATTGTCTATTTTGCCCTAAATTCAAAATAAATAAAATAAGGGATTATGCAATATAGTGTAAGTTGTTGGCAATCAAAGTAAATTTAACATCACTTTAGAAAACCCTAGGATTCATATTGAACAGCATCTTTGAATGTAAAGGCAGTGCCACGTTAATCACCCCAATATGCTAAGTGTGAACCAACCAGAACTAGATAGAGACATTCTATAATGTTTTAAAGATCCTTTGAATGACTAGGCTTAACGTATAAATAACAATAGTATAATCAAAACAAGACAGGTAACAGGGGAGCCAGATATCTGGTAAATGAGAGTCAAAGGCAGGTCAAGGGTGCCAGAAAACAGAGTAGTCAAGAAAAGCTGAGTGAAAACCACAAAAATCAAGAGACGATGTAAATGCATTGTAACCACTGGCGTACATACCGCGTTCGCAGGGGTCGCAGATGTGACCGGGCAAGTCACACCAGGTGGCCCTGCCGCCCTGTGACCCGTATGTACGCCTCTTCTCCTGTGGGCACGTGAGGGAGCACTCTCCCCTGAGCGCTCTCTGCCCAGCTCCCTCGCGCGCACCGCACTGATGCCGGAGCCGGAATATGACATAATTCCGGCTCCAGGATTAGTAAGCTGCGCGTGAGGGATCTGGGCAGAGTGCACTCAGGGGAGAGTGCTCCCTCGCGTGCCCGCAGCACCAGCCGTCGGGTAGCCCCACTGGACCCCAGGGAATCCCCTCAGCACTCCCAAAGGTAGGGAGACTGGGGATCACATTTTTTTTAAAAAACATGTGTGTATGTGTATTAGTGTTAGAGTGTGTGTGTGTTAGTTTTTGTGTCAGTGTGTGTATGTTACTGTGTGTGTGTCTGCTAGTGAGTGTCATTGAGTGTGTTAGTTTTTATGTGTGTGTGTGCTACTGTGTGTGTTAGTTTTGTGCTAGTTTGTGTGTGTCTGTTATTGAGTGTGTGTCTGCTAGTGAGTGTCAGTATGTGTGTTAGTTTGTGTATCAGTGAGTGTGTGTCTATTACTGAGTGTGTTAGTTTGTGTGTGTCTGTTAGTGTGTGTCTGTTAGTGAGTCTTTTAGTGAGTCTGTTTGGTGTCTTAGTGTGTCTGTCTGTCAGTGAGTGTGTATGTATGTCTGTCACTGAGTGTGTCTCTGTCAGTAAATGTGTGTGTCTGTTAGCTAGTGTGTATGTGTCTGTTCGTGAGAGTGTGTGTGTTTAAAACCCCTTCAGCACTTACCTTTCTCCAGCGCCGGACTCCCTTGGCGCTGGGGATCCCTCCTCCCCGATCTGCCTCTCAGCTCCGAATGTGCATGTGCGGCTCCCCGATCCGCCTCTCAGCTCCAAATGCACGCGCGCATTCAAACCGCCCATAGAAAAGCATTACTCAATGCTTTCCTAGGGACGTCAAGCATCTTCTCACAGTGATTTTCACAGTGAGAATCGCGAAAGCGCCTCTAGCGGCTGTCAGTGAGACAGCCAGTAGAGGCTGGATTAACCCTCAGTGAAACATAGCAGTTTCTCTGAAACTGCTATGTATTCAGCTGCAGGGTTAAAACTAGAGGCACCTGGCACCCAGACTACTTCATTGAGCTGAAGTAATCTGGTTGTCTATAGTGGTCCTTTAAGTGTATGTGTATCTGCATGCACTGGAGTACATACCGTGGTCGCATGGGTCGCAGCCCTGCAAACAGGTGCCCGCTGCCATGTGTTGTGGCCCCGGCCTGCACAGAGTAAGTGCGGGGGGGGCCACGGATCAATTTTCGCACCGGGGCCCCATGGGTCGTGTGTATGCCACTGGTTGTAACTGTCCGCTTATTGCTTTACATCTTTGTTTAGTACTGACTGCAACAGGTGGAACATTTCTGCCTACCTCTTGTTTCCTTGGGGAATGTTTGAGCAGCAGACCCCCTCCTTCCTCTAATTTTGGAGGCATGAAGCTCTGTGGCGGATCCAGAGCCTGATCTCTCTTGTAGATTATTTAAAGAAATAATCCATGCACAATAACCACTACAGCTCTGTGTAGTGGTTATGGTGCCAGGAGTGCCGGGACCCCCTCCCAGAGTAAATAGTCAAACCGTTTAAGAACAGTTTGACAACTTACCTGGGGTCTGCTGGGTTATGGGATCCGCCAGTGATTCAGATGCAAAGCAAGCCAGCAGAACCTCGTGGGAAGGAAATTGTCACTGAGGTTTTCTAAAGTTTAAGTGCACCCCTTGGCAAGTGGAGCGAGGTACGCAGTAAAAGTGCATTGTTTATAATAGTATATATGTTCTTATGCATAAATTGTGTCCATACTGTTAGTCAAAAGATATGCTGTGCAGTCCAGATCTCTGTATATAGTTTGTATACCTCAGATATAATTTCAATGTGTGCAGATAAATGAACTCCACATTTGTAATCCTGCTTGTTACCCCCTTTTTGGTGATCTCTGTAAACAAATGTATTCTATGTCAGTTTACAGTTTTTACGGTGCTCGATGCTCTGTGCTTATGGTTCACAGTGCTCAAGATGTTAAAGAGATTAATGTTGGTGGTGTTCAATCCTCCTGCACATCCTTGATGCAAAAGAATAAAAGTAATGTCAGAAGCTCTCCTCTTGTTATTTACTCGATGCCAAAGGGGCCACAACATCAGGAACTAAATTGCACAAATGATGCAGGGCGCTTGGCGACATTACAAATATGCTTGACTTTACCTCTGTAAGAGGATGTGTATGGAGCATGTCACGTCAGAAATAATGCCAGGAAATTACACAGCATCTTTATTGGTGTGGGAAGATCATGTGGCATTGATGCAAGAGGAGCATCAGGTGTCAGACTGGATGCAGGAATGACATATATGCTGTGATGTTATGCAACCTCACATAGGTAACCTTACAGGTGAATAGTGAGGAGCACGATGTGAGTTGCTTAATGGATGAGAAGAGATGGCGAGTTTAATGGTTCACATACTTCCAGTTTTAGGCGCCTGACATTTTTCATATAATTTTTTTGATCATTTTTCATATCATATTAATGGAAGAGAATAGTCTAGACTATCCCCCCTCTCCAATGGTAATGATTTACTGCATTTCTGCTTATCAGGTTTCTGCTAGAGCACTGATATCCATGATCAATAACATATTTTACCCAGCGGTCTTATAAATCATTGAGCAACTGCTGCTGGCCATTTCATGCAACCGAACACACTTGGTCGACAGAATGAATGGCGGGCCATTTTGTGTCCCAAACGCAGGCAGCGGTGCCTGGAACTGATTTTGGCTAGGCACTCCCGCGAACACCAGTGAAGATGAAACTGCTGCCCGTTCCAGTTCCCGACCACCTATACGAATGGCTTTCGGGAGATATGAACTACAGACTGGGGGGAGCATTCGACACCTGAAATTATTCGGATATTGTGTGTGGTTTTTGTATAAGAATCCTCAAACTGAGACCGGCCATTGCCACTATTTCTCGGGGACTATTTTGGGCTTCTACCTTGTGGCCAGCCGGTCAAAACTTTACCCAGGTGGCAATCCCAAACCACTGAACCGATCTGAGTGCTTTTTGGATATGTTAGGCAATCAGATCAGAGGTATCAGGGGATTTCTCTAGGTGTTTCCATGAATTTGGGGGGTACTTTTGGGGTGTTGGAGAATTTGTTACATTTGTTTGTACCTGGGAGACAATTGAGTAAGTTTCTTGACTCAATTATCTCTCAGGCACAGGGATGTGTTAATTACACAACAGGTTAGAGCTATTTTACACTAGGAAAGGGAGTCCATGGCTGCGATATACTGTCGGTCCACCACAGCAATGATATTGTTTGTACTTCCTGCTTTTTGTAATGCTAATGATAATGAGTAAACACATACAATTTAGATCTTAGTATGCAGTAGGTAGCTTTACATTTACCTTTATAACTTTTTCAGTTTTCATGTTGATTGCTAATTTCTGTTTAATTAATATATCCTTTAGAGAAATAGTAACAGGAGGAATGCCATAAGAGACAATTAAAAATGACTTTAGAGAAGAAGTGAGATGGGAAATGATGATGAAAAAAGAGAGCCAATATTGGGTTAAAATGAACAGTACTATGTTGAAATAGTAATTAAAACTAATGTAGTGAAGATAAATTGATTGTAAATATTTATTTTACACTACTATCAAAGGTCTTTGATATATGTATAAGAAATATCTTCTCACCCCACTTCCTTAGTAGTGAAATCACAATAGGTGATGTCATAGTGTGATGTCATACATGTAAATACTGCTTTAACTGCTTGGACATATTTTCTCCCAGATGCATCAGAGCCTCTGACAGAGCTTCACCTACACCCACAGTTTTCACATCATATTAACTGCTTCTTCTTAACTGGATGTTTCTGAAGACTTGAAGCTTGACTACCCTTTGTCAAATGTTTGAGCTTCTTCAATGAGATGAATATCTTTTTGAGACTTGTGTACACTAGGTTTGGAGGGATGAGTTAGGAAAGTGGGAGGGAGAGTGGAAATGTGTCTTGTGCCTCTTTAACCAGCTTGAGATCTGAGCGGGGACCCGCCGAAGGGCAGGCTATTTGAGCTGTTGTCTGTTCTCACCTCTCTTGCTACTTGTTTTTCTCTCCTTAAGTTCAAAGGGCAATCCAGATGTGTACCCCTTTGCTCACGGTGCCTAGAGGGATATTGGCTATACCTCACTGATGGTACCTTGCAAGGTTGCAATAATAGTCTGGGGTTGCTGTATCTTTCCTGCAGAGGGAATTTGCTGGCATTTTGGATCTGGACTGCCCATATCGGTGGGACCAGTCTGATATGCTTCAGATATGTTCTCTCTATAATGGCACAAGATGAGCAAAAACCAGTTTGAGATCTGAGCGGGGACCCACCGAAGGGCAGGCTAATTGAGCCGTTGTCCGTTCTCACCTCTCTTGCTACTGGTTTTTCTGTGCCTCTTTATGCATCAGATTGTTTTTTTATATTTTGATATTTAGATCCTGGCTGCCAGTTGCGTACAAATAGGGGTCGCAGCACTCCAAGGGGCCCGTCCGCCCTGTGGACCCCTGCGACCGGGTACCAATTGCCATGTTTTGCAGCCCTGGCCTGTGCGGCAAACCACCGGGGCCGCACGTGAAGGAGCCCATCTGGTTATCCATGCTGTTAGGGCCACCCGATGGGTATGGATTCCCAGGGGGCCCGGTCAGCGCTGCGGTGCTTTAACAGCACGACCGGGACCCTTGTCATTAGATCACAGCTGGGAGGAAGTGACTGCCCCGGTTGCACCTCCCAGCTATCAGACAAAGCCAATGCGTGAGGAAGGAGAGGGAGTCAGAGTGGGAACTCTGACTCCTATCAACCTGAGCCACGACTGGACCCCAGGGAAAGTCAGCCTCCTGCACCCAGAAGATAGGAAACCGGAGGGTGACTTAAACATTTTGTATGTGTGTGTGTGTCTCTATGTCTGTGTGTGTGTGTCTGTCTGTATATGTCTGTGTTTGTGTCTGTCTGTATGTATGTATGTGTCTGTGTGTGTGTGTGTGCCTGTCTGTCTGTATGTATGTATGTATGTATGTGTCTGTGTGTATGTATTCATGTGTCTGTGTGTATGTGTGTCTGTGTGTATGTGTATATCTGTCTATATGTGTGTATGTGTGCCTTTGTATGTATGTATGTGTGTCTTGTGTGTGTGTGTGTGTCTGTCTGTGTGTAT